ATTAACAGGGTAAAATAAATTAGTTCTATTTGCATAGTGTATATATTATGAAAAAAAAGTGTAATATTATAAAAAAAAAAATTAATTTAATATTATTATATTTTTTTATTGTCCCATTTTATATTTTCAAATTTTATTAGGCTTTTTGTAGAATAGAAGTTTGAATATTTTAAAATTTGAAAAACTAGTAGTGCTAATAGATTAATAGTTAATAGACTATTGGTAAAGTTTATTGAAAAATAGGCTGTTAAAATACCCATAGACAATTAAAGTTTATATTTTAATAATCATAGGAAGTATACATTGGTTTTTAAGTTTAAAACCTATTTTTTTAAATTTAATTTAAAAACTTTATTTTTCGTTGAATTGTTTACAATAGTTTTATAAAAAAATATAAACTAATTAAAATCAACACATTAAACTGTATGAGACAATACACACAAACATTTATATCGTGAGTTATATAGAATTTTTTTTTTTCAAGTTACAGTTTGTATATATGTATGCATATAAAGGTATATTACAATTCTGGAAATAATAAATGACAACAAATTAATTTTTTTCACGTAAAATTTTAAACATAAAAAACAAAAAACCACAATAAATCAAAATAGAAAAAATTTAAAAAAATGAATTCTTTTTGACAAATTTTACAACGCCGCTTTAAAATTCTATTTTTGAACATCTTTCGAAGATTTTGTTTTTTAATTGTTGTTTCAGAAATACAAACAGCTGTGTTATTACAAAACCAACACCACCTGAACATTTGAGGGCAATACAATCAAGCTCACATATGTCTCAGGTTAAAATCAAAGAAAATGTCTCAATATCTAAATATCTCAACAATGCACAATCCAAACCATCCGAGAGCCAGTCTGGTGTATTACAACCGGATGTTTTGTCAAGTCAATTAAAAACTATTGTTGAAACACCAGCGCATGTGTTAACTTCGATCAACTCAAGTAAGCTTGTTTTTAAAGTTGCACATTTATTTAAATAATATTTTATAAGGTTTATTAAAATTAATTGAACATTTTACACCCTGTTTGACTGTATAGTTTGTATTTACCATTTTATTTATATTTAACAAATAAATAAAAAACTATTTAGCTGTTCTTTTGGAGAGGTTAATTACAACGCTTGAAGAGATAAAAGAAAATCAAAAGACTCATTCTGTAATGTTACAGTCTATAATGAGACAAATAAATACACCTCAGATGGAAAAAGATAATGAATTGCCTATAGGCATTCACCTTCCCATTTCCAGTATCGAAGATATGAATAATTTGGAGGAGCAACTAAAAGATCGATCAATCAAGAGAACATTGATGATTAGTAAAGATTTTTTGTTTCTGTGTCTAAGAACAATATATATTTAATTTATTGGTTTATTTTAATGTATAATTGCCCCCAATCCACTTGAGACTTGTCTTGCTTTTTTTGTAGAACCTCCTCCCCTTTTTTATATCTGATTAAAAAAATGTTTAGACTAGCATACGCAATTGGTCTAATAGTTCAATCATTTTAGTTCATTTTGTTATTATTATTTTTTTATTAAATCTACTAAATCAAACTTATTACTTTTTAAAGACTTCTATTGTGTCTAATATTGGTGGAAGCTCATTGGATGATGCCATCAAAAGAATGATGAAATTTATTCTGTCTAATAATCTTGGAAGACTGTGCAATCTCTCTGGGCAGGCTGGAAAAGTATGTTTTTCGAAACTGGAAATATTTGAAGTAGTCTGTGGTATGTTATACATTTCACATAATATTTATTTTCACATAATTATCATATATTATTTTAAATATATTGGAATATATTTAAATTAAAATATGTTAACATAAAAATAATATATTTGTTATAATTAATGTTATACATAATATATACATATCAGAGCCGTAGCTACACCTTTTGATGCCTTGATGCCCGAGGGCATCGAGGATTTTTAGGTCCTCCTTCCCAATATCATAGACTTATATATCTTTATATATATTTAGAAGATATATATTTTTTTTTTTTTTTTGATTTATATTTATATATCTTCGAAACAATCTTAGACATTCCAACAAGGCCCTGACGAGATGAAGGTTTGTTACATACCACAACTTTCGACTATTATGATGATCTATATATATATATATATATATATATATATATATATATATATATATATATATATAATAAATATATATATAATAAATAAATAAATCAGAGCTATAATATAAATGTTGAAAATTAAACTACAAGGATTTCACAAATTTAAGTTTCATGCTATTTCAATCATCAGATCTGATGATTGCAATAGCATGAAACTTGAAGTTGTGAAACTCTTGCAGTTTTATTTTCTACCTTAGACGTCTGCACCAAGAAATTTTGTCATAGGCAATTATATATATGGCAATTAATTACTGTTTTTTATTTTAGACCAAATCCTTTAACTTAAATTTTCTAACATTCATAATTATTTTCGTTTGTGTTTAGGTGCAGTTAAAAGAAATGCATTGACCGCTAATGCTACCCAAAAGGAGATTGAGATCGAGTTGCGCAAATGGTTTGCCAACGCCCGAGATCGAGGGCAAGGCAACCGGAAATCAAAAGTATCTGCATCAGATAATACTGATTTGTTTTAATCAGAAATATAGTTAAACTTAAAAAATATTAGACTATTAAATAAAATTAATTAATTAATAGATTTACCATCGTTCTGAGAAATTTTAGTATTGCCGTTCGGTGATACTCGTGCGTGTGGTCAGACAAGTCGTAATTAGATAATATAGACACGAATTAAAGTTAACAAACAGTTTTTATTACCATATCCCGCGATCAACCCTTCCAAAAACGTTCCCATGCGGTTCCCGTGCGGGACCCTTCCAAAAACGTTCCCATACGGTTCCCGTGCGGGCCCCCTGGACAAAACCTTGTGGGTCCCGACTGGGTTTCCTGTACGGGTCCCATACTTTAAACAACGCGGGCCCCGTGTGGGTCCCGCGTTGTTTGGCTGGCTGGGATATATATATATATATACATATATATATATATATATATATATATATATATATATATATATATATATATATATATATATATATATATATATATATATATATATATATACATATATATATATATATATATATATATATATATATATTATATATATATATATATATATATATATATATATATATATATATATATAAATATATATATATATATATATATATATATATATATATATATATATATATATATATATATATATATATATATATATATATATATATATATATATATATATATATATATGTATATTATATATATATATATATATATATATATATATATATATATATATATATATATATATATATATATATATGTATATATATATATATATATATACATATATGAAATATTTTGTGTACTATTTTTAACTAGAATTATATTTATTGATAAAATTTAAACGTCATAGTAAAATGTTGTAGTGTTTAAAAATTATGACCATATAGAATTTGCAAACTCCTCAAATTGAGGTGGGTTTAAACTTTATATGGTCATAATTTTTGAACACTAAAATATACTACTATGAAATTTAAAATTTCTCGATGAATATGAGTCTCGTTAAAAGTAGTACAAAAAATATTTCAATAAATTATTGCTCTTTCTCTTGACTTTGGAAAACGTCAATAAATAAACTATATTTGAAAAAAATTCTACTGCTTCTTATTCACATGTTCTTGAGAAGATTAATAATAAATTTACAAAATTTGCTTCTTGACGACAATTTTTTTTATGCATAAACTCTTTTTATGTATATTCGTAGTGAATTTATATGTTTTGTTAGTCATAAAAATTTCAACTTCATCTTTCATTTCTACTTACAAGTTTAATGATTATATTATATTATACATCTTAATGGTTATTGACCTTGAAGTTAATTTATGATTAAAGTACCAACTTACCAATTCTTTCTTTTTCTTTGAATTTAAACTCCTTTGTAAGCAAATATAGTTTATTAAAGAACTTATTTCTTGGGTTAATTGTAAAAAAAAAAGTTTATTTATAGTTCTAATTGAGACAAAATGTTTCCGAGCGTTAAAAAAAAATTTCAACATTTATGTAAATTAGTGTAAAATGATAGATATAAAGATTTAAATTTAGAATAATATTTTCATGTATATTGTATGATAGTATTTTTTATAAAATTGCTTTAAAACCAATTAAAAAGAAATAAAAAGTTTTTGTTTTGTTTACAACATTACCCCCAGAACTTTTTTTGCATCATTAAAAGTATGACGTCAAAATTGTGACTAAAATAAAATTTGCCGCAGCATAATTGCGTAATTAATTACTGAAATTCAACTATAGCTCTTTATTGCTTTCGTAATAAATATATTGTATTTCTTAAAAAAGTAATAAATATATTGTATTTCTTGTTTTTTATTTTGTTTTTATATCGCAGTGGATACGGTCCTGGATAAAATTAAGTTGGAAGTTTTCCGCAAACAGGCAGAAAACCTCCAGCGTAGCATTATGTGTTATGATTTTAATGTTTTTGTTTGTTATTAAATAAATTAGTTTTAAACAGAAGGAAATTACAAAGTTTTAGTAACTTCCTTTTGTTTAAAACCATTTTATTATCATTTTTAATTTATTATTTAATATTTTTAGTCTAAAAAAGAAAATAGCTTTATTGCTGATATTAAAAAAGCGTAGATGCGAAGAATTTTAATGGAACGTTTGTAGAAAGGCTCATTTAATATATTGTACAAGATTAAAAATTATTTGGCAGTTGTTGTTTTTTTCAAGAGTTTTTGCATAAGTTCACAAATTTTTAAAGTATTTCATCCTAAGTTGCTTCTTTTATATCTTAAATTTTCTCTTAGACATTCAAATGACACTGCTGAAGAAAGGTTATTACATTAAGATATCTTATTACTGGAAATGCTCAGATAATAATTGAGTCTTTTAGTTGTAGTAAGAATTATTAAAGATACATGTTAAAAATTTTGAATTATTTTGTGTAAAAAAAGGTGTTTAATAGCACCAGCATGTAGTTATTTAGTAACTAGCTCAAAGTGGTTCAACGTATTTTGTGGGAAAAAAGACGTCGAAAAGACATCTTTAAAAGTCTTATTTACGATGTCATTAAGACGTCCTTTTTTAATCGATTATGCAAATCAAAAAGTCATCTTTTTTCGACATCGAAAAGACGTCTTTTTATGTGTTTATCTTGTAATAAAAAGACATTAAAAATGCGACTTTAAGACCTCTTTGTTTATCGATTATTATTTTTCTCGGGTTCGGAACGGCTTTTTTGTCATACTTTGTAAAAAAAAATGCGTCTTTAAGACGCCTTCTTCAGTTGATTATGCAAATCAAAAACATCTTTTTTCGACATCGAAAAGGCGTCTTTTTATGTCTTTATCTTGTAATAAAAAGACATTAAAAATGCGACTTTAAGACCTCTTTGTTTATCGATTATTATTTTTCTCGGGTTCGGAACGACTTTTTTGTCATACTTATTAGTATACTATAGTATCGTATAACCTATAGTATGAATTGTATATACTATAGTATCGTATAACCTATTCCTACTTTTCATATATGAAAAGCTGTTTTCACCAAATGAAAATGATAATAGCTCTTCATACAAAGTATGACAAAAAGCTCCGATGTCTAGAAAAATACCTCTTTTAGATATCAATATAAAAGAAGAAGCATTTTCTACATCTTTTATATGTTTAAACATAGGAGAATAATTTATAAATAAAACAACAGTATTGTTCAACAGAAATTTTTTTTTATCTTTCTCTTTCTCCTCTGTTTCTTGAGTGAGCTCTGTTTCTTGGCTTTGTTGAATAAAATTAACTATTTCACGTCGAGAAATCCTTTCATAAAAGCTAGCTACGACTTCTAAAAAACAAGTGAGCATAAAAAACAGCCTCTTACTTGAATATAATACAAAAAAGCAAATTAAACTTTATTACCTGAGTGAACACGTTAGACTTACCGACTATTAATTTAAAAAAGGCTAACCCTTTTAACCCCCTCATGTTTCTCGCGCGGTCCTTTCTTTTTGAACCCACTAGATTAGATTGGGACAGGAGTCAAACGGTAAACAGTCTAAAAATATATAAAAATGAGTATGCTAATGAAATTTACGACCATCAAAATGACTGTACAACGATGTATTTTTTTATGTAGTACTTAAACCAAGCTAAACATTTGCACCTATCAGATTTTCTATGAAAGCTAAGTTATTGAAAACAGATATTAATATTTTTCTGTCTTTTATGACGTGACTTTTAATTGAATTTTGCTGAAATTAAGTGTTGTAGACTCATAACAATTTAAAAATCCGTTATTGATTAAAGACTGAAAACAAAAAGGTAATTTAGCTAATACACCTTGAAAGTTGTTATACATTTAAACTGGATAAAAGTATTATTCAAAGCTCTATATTAGCCTGAAACATAATGATGCTTTACTTAACAACATAAAATTATAAAAACTGGCAGTATCACACATGATTAAAAATTAAGACTAGAAAGCTGCAATGATGTTTAGATATAAAAAAGTGTACCTTTCCAGTATCATTTTCACTTGGTCTTTTGTATCCAAACCAAAGGTTTTGTTAAAAAAGATAAAATTTTCTAAAGATAAATCTTTTGTCATTGTGTGCATTTATTTACTTTCTTTTTTAACGACACACAACAGTTAACAAGGAAATAACAACTTTAACATAAAAGTTAAAGAGCCAATTTTTTGTATAAACAATTTCATCATTCAACTAAATAAAAACAACAAAATTATTCAGATCATTAAAAAATATATAAAAAAAAATAAATTGCTAGCCTACTAAATACTTCTTCTTTTCTATCGTTCGTTACACTGGAACAAGTAAATACAGACAGAAATTGTTTACTGGTTTTATTTTTTGTCTGAAAATAAATATTTTAACTTAATATGTAATAAACAACGTTCTTCAAGCACAACAGATTAAAAAATTAGTCCACAAATAAACGGTAAAACTTTTTAAAACACTTACCTGCAACTAACTTAATTGAGACTAAGTGTTTTAAGTGTAAAAATGTTTAAAGATAAACAAGTTGTCAAATATATATATATATATATATATATATATATATATATATATATATATATATATATATATATATATATATATATATATATATATATATATATATATATATATATATATATATATATATATATATATGTATATATATATATATATATGTATATATATATATATATGTATATATATATATATATATATATATATATATATATATATATATATATATATATATATATATATATATATATATGTATGTATATATATATATATATATATATATATATATATATATATATATATATATATATAGTATGTATATATATATATATATATATATATATATATATATATATATATATATATATATATATATATATATATATATATATATATATATATATATATATGTATATATATATATATATGATAATAATAATAATAACAATAACAATAATAATAATTACTAATCAGTAAGTAAATCTACTATAAAACTAAAAAAAAAAATTATAGTATATATTTTTTTTAAATTTAGTTAATAATAAAACCTAAACAACAATTAAAGCTAGATATAATCAGTCTAATTGTTCCATATCTATATTTTTATACAAATAAAAGCCATTAACGGGCACATTTTATTTTCACATAAAAAATAGTCTAACGCAAAAATCGCTACGTTTTGACTGCGCTTACTAATGTCGGTAAAACGGGTAAAGTTCTACAAATCACCAGTTTGAAAACAAAAAATCCACCCTAATTAACCATGAGAAACAATTTTAAAAATACATATACATTTTTAATAGTTGCAGAACCTACTTTCATGTCTATTCTATCATATTCCAACGTCATCCTGGTGATTTTTTTACTATATCTCAATTTTTAATGCATTTATACTTTTGAATTTATCTTTTTAAATGTAAAATATAATATTTTTGATGGATGACGTAAGTTATTAAAACTTCGACCTTTTATGATTAAATATAAAAATTATTTTCTGTACCTCTTGCTATGTTAACGAATATATTTTTAAAGTTGGCATGTTTAGCACTTAATTTGTTTATCGCGTCACATAACCTTAAATGCGTTACAAAATCACAATCTAGTTTTAATTTGATACGTAATTAAACTTATCAATTTTGTGAAATTCTCTTCACAAACTTAAACATTTTTTAATTATGTCTTCAATGTCATTAATATCGATAAATATATTTAAATTCCAGTGAAACTCTTTTTTAAAAAAAAAAAAAAGTTGATGTAATATTTGGCAATGTCTAACTTAACTAATCCCTCTATTGATTTGCATTAGGTTTAAGTAAGATTTTTTGCTTTAAAAATGGTCAACAACGTAAGTATTTTTGCTAATTTGCTAATATTTTTACATTTGATGTTGCTAAGAAACTGGCATTAAATTGCAAACCCGGTGGGAAATGAGCTAGCGACTAGCTAGCTCTATAGCGATTTTGAAGCGATTTTTTTTTTCTTATTTTATTTTTTGCAAATGTCTTTAACATCTTTAAAAATTCGATTTTTAGTGGTGAGTCTAATATAATTTTGAAAATAATTGAACTTTAAACATTGCGATTTTGTAGCAATGTGTCGCTAGCTACATATCGTAGCTTTGTAGCTAGCTACAAAATATCTACAAATCTATAGCTGGTTGATAGCTACATATCAAAATTTTTTAAACAACGATTTTATTACGATATGACGCTAGGTACAATAGCCAGTGGATCTTCAGCTTATTAAGCTAGCTGTCCTCATAGCCAAATCGCTGTCTTTATCTTTAAAAATATCGATAGCTTTTTGCTAACTTAAAAAAGCTAGCGATCCTCGTGGCCAAATCGCTGTCTTTATCGTAAAGATTATAGCTAGCTATTCGCTAGCCTATTTCCCAGCGGGAAG